CAGAACGACACAGGGATAGGGCGTTCCTGACCCAGGATGTATTCCTGGCCGTCGCGAATGCGCTGAGCGCGGGCCTCTTCCTCGGGCGAGATGCTGAAGCGATGCATGCGGGAGGCAAGGCGCGGGTCGATGACGATGTCGTCGAGCCACTCGCGTTCCTTGTCGGGGTTGGCTTCGTCCTTGCGGTGGACGGACTTGTGCCATTCCTTTTCTTCCTCCTCGAGGACGGTCTGTTGTTCGTAGGTGGTGCTGCCAAGGGTATCGTCGGAGATGGGGGAGGCATCCGAGGAGCCGGAGCCGGTGTGGTAAGGGCGGCTGTATGAGGCCAGGACGATGGCAGCGACATCGCGGCCTACGCTCTCGGCCATGTGGCGCTGGTTAAGGTAGCGGTAGAGTCTGATGGGGGTGTTGAGGAAACCCAGGATGTGGGGGAAGGCGATGGGGACGGAGCCTGAAAGAGTCTGGGGGATAGTACGGGGGAGGGGTTGCGATGAGTAGTCGGATGTGGAGATGTAGGCTGGTGTCGGTCCGACGGGTTTAGCAGGCTTCTCTTCCTTCTTTTCCTGCTCGGAGGCGTTGGCGTCGCCCTCCTTGGTCTCGGAGGAGGTCTCTGCGGCGGGTGTGCTCGATTCCACAGGAGCGGGTTCCTCCGTGGGCGGAGGCGGATGGGGAGGATCGAGAGGGCCCAGCCAGCCTTCGTGCAGACCGCGAATGTACTCCTTCCATGTGTGACGACCGATGACCAGATCACCCTTCGGTCCGGGCTCCTCGATAACGCCCATCTGCGTCCTGGCGGCGAAAACGACGTCCTCGACCGTGGGGTCCTCCACCACTGTGCTCGGTTCGCCTGCCTTGCGTCTCCACTTGCGAATGCGCTCCGCGTAACCAGCACGGATATCGCCTTCCCTCCTGCCTTCGATGACTTGGTAGTCCAGTGCCGCCGCCACGAGGATCGGCTTGACGTATTCTTTGAAGTGGTCGCGAGCTACACGGATACCGTCACCCGGTGGCGCGGACAGGAAAACGTTGATTTTGCGTCGGGTTTGCTCGATGGGAAGATGCTCTTTGGAGATGTGGGCGACGAGGTCACCCCATTTTTGTTGCGCGCGGCGCTTCTCTCTCCGGTCGTAAATGACAGCTGCGGCGAACGAGCCGGTGATGGTGAAGAAGATCATCCAGTTCCGGGAGGGGAGTTTCATGCGGAGATTCGGCATTCCTTGGAGACTATTAGGTATGAAGATATTGGTTAAGGGCAATGGGGATCTATACCAAGCATTCTGAAGGCTGGGTTGGAGGGCTTGGGAGCGCTGGTGGACGCTGCGGACTGGGCCGGGCCTGAGGCCGCGGCGGAATTGGAGGATTCCGCCATGGTGTAGGGGGATGGAGAAAAAGGGTATAAGAGAGTTTGGGGTATATAATTAAGATACAAAATAATAAAACTTTTGGTACGTAACAGGGAGCAGAAAGCACTCCCTCATGGCATGTCGTGAAGGGAAATGCATGATTGCCGAAAAAGTTCGGGATGCTCTGCGCAGCTCCGGTCGGGACGAGGGTTTATCCGGAGGCGAGGATGCCGAGTTGAAGGCGGAATCTGGAGGAGCAGCAGAAGATGCACCCCAGCTAAACTCAGTGTTGCATACCACGGAGATTTAGTCTAAAAAGACCAGGTCTCAGATGATCCCTTGGAGTTTCAGATTGTAATTTTCGAACCCGTCCAGCTGAATAGACGTCTAGAAGGAGACATAAATCGGTTCATGCTGCTGGCGTTAACATTCATCATTGCTGGAGCACTAGCATTCCCTTGATGGTATTAATCTGTCACAGTGAGGAATACACACGCTAGATCTCTAATTCTTTATACTCCTTTGAAGGCAGTGAAGACATATTGAAGATGAAGATGGTACTAGCAGCGAATACATTCAATCATTGTGAGACAGCATTCGTGGCACCAACCGAGTGCCGTATGAGTCTGGAACATTAAGCATTAAACATCGGTCTCTTTTTCCAGTTCCCCTCCTTCCCCCCGTGCTGATCGGATCATCAATCCTTGAGGAGTAGTGGTTGCAGTAGCATCGTGTCTTTTCTTTGGTATCCTTATTATCCCTGTCTCTGACTTCAATTCGGGATCGTGAACCTGAAACACAAAGCTGGTTGCCCGACAGATACTTTGTTAGAGAGGGTAGTACTTAGTAGTAGTAGTAGTAGTACGGGACTTGCCGCCACTGGGGCAGAAGAATGAGCCAGCCAGCCTCTGGTTGTTGTGCCTGGACCTCTCCACTGCATTTCCCCCCCTCTGCTAAGCCAATCTCAGGGACAACAGCGAGAAAAGCGCTCCTGAAAGTTGCTTGTCGAAAGCCCCCCTTCGCCTCCTGAGGCCACCGCTCCTTCGGGCTCTTGTTTCCCCCTCCCCCTTGGATTATTCTTTCCCATCTCCATCCATCCTCCCCCAATTCTTCATCCACTCGCTCTCAACTCCCCCCGCTTTCCCTAGCCCTCGTTTGGTAGTCGGGGAGGAAAGTTTTCCATCATGGATCCCAACAACAACAACCGACTCCACCTGAATTTCGGGTACAACGATCGTGGTTTCAATGCGGCGGCGGCCAACAACCGCGCCTATCCCACTACCCCCTCCGCCTTCCCCCAGCCGATCTACCAAAACCAGGGTCCCCAGGATTATATGGACGCCCAGAACGGTGCCTATGCTCAAGGTGGTTATTTCATGGCCAATCCTTACCAAGCTCAGGCTGCCTACGGCCAGCCGCATTATGGCCAGAACCTGCAGTCCCCTCAGCCCGCCTACCAGTCCCGCATGGGTTACAGCGCGAACGATGGCACCAACGGCTTGATCCAGCAGTTTTCGAACCAGGACCTGAACTCTCCTCGCTCGGGTTTCTTTGCTCGTTCTGCCTCGCCAGCCCAGCGACCCCGAACTGCGGGCTCCCCCGCCCCCGGGCAGCAACAGCCGGGCCACCTGGCGCCTCCTATGCCTCGTAGCCCTCGCACCCCCGCGGAGAACGAAGAGTTGCAGCGGTATCCCGAACGGTACTCGGAGAATGTCCACAAGCGTGGTAAGGCAGCCAAGGAGCTGGTCAGCGTCTTCTTTAATGAGAACATCGAGCGCGCACGCGATCGCAACATGCGGTGAGTATTCCACAAATGCCACAGCCCCTCCCCAGCATGGAAACTGGTATCGCTAATTCGGTGCGTTTCCTAGGTCTGCTGAGCTTGACAAGATGATCCGTGAACCGAGTATCCCCAAGGAGAACAAGTGCAAGGACGCAGAGGTGCTTGCTAAGAAAGAATCGAATTTCCTCCGATTCCTTCGTACCAAGGAGACCCCGCAGAACTTCCAGACCATCAAGATTATCGGAAAGGGTGCATTCGGTGAAGTGAAGCTAGTACAACGGAAGACCGATGGCAAGATTTACGCGCTGAAGTCGTTGATCAAAACGGAGATGTTCAAGAAGGACCAGCTGGCTCACGTTCGCGCGGAGCGTGATATCCTTGCTGATTCCAAGGACAACCCGTGGTTGGTGAAGCTGCATGCTTCTTTCCAGGACACCGCATACTTGTATCTGCTGATGGAGTTCTTGCCTGGTGGTGACTTGATGACCATGTTGATCAAGTACGAAATCTTCTCCGAGGATATTACCCGATTCTATATGGCTGAAATTGTCATGGCGATCGAGGCTGTTCACAAGCTCGGCTTCCTTCACCGGTAAGTGCTAGGCGCTTGATGCAGCGAGAAGATGCAAAGTCGACGTGCTAATTGTTTTCGTCTATAGTGACATCAAGCCTGATAACATTCTTCTGGATCGTGGTGGTCACGTCAAGCTGACGGACTTTGGTCTGTCCACCGGAGGAAAAAAGACCCACGACAACTCCTACTACCAGAACCTGCTGAAGAACTCGACGTCAAAGGACAAGAACCGCAACTCCGGTTACTTCAACGATGCGATCAACCTGACAGTCTCCAACCGTGGTCAAATCAACACGTGGAGAAAGTCTCGTCGCGCAATGGCATACTCCACGGTCGGTACTCCGGACTATATCGCCCCCGAGATCTTCAACGGTCAAGGATACACCTACCTGTGCGATTGGTGGTCTGTAGGTGCTATCATGTTCGAGTGCCTTGTGGGTTGGCCCCCGTTCTGCGCGGAAGACACCACCGACACCTACCGCAAGATTGTGAACTGGAGAGAATGCCTGTACTTCCCTGAGGAACTCACTCTTTCGCGCGACTCCGAGGGTCTCATCAGAAGGTAAGCTTTATGCGCATCATTCGCTCATGCATCATGCTAATTCTGGATTAGCTTCCTCTGCGACGCAGAGCACCGTATCGGAAGCGATGGCGGCCAATTCGGCGGCGCAACGCAGATCAAGAACCACCCCTTCTTCCGCGGAGTCGTTTGGGAGCAACTGCGCAGCATCCGTGCGCCGTTCGAACCGAGACTGAGCTCGAACATTGACGTGTCGTACTTCCCGATCGACGAGATTCCTCAGGAGGATACCAGTGCCATCCACCGCGCTCAGGCTCGCGCCATGCCGGACGAGCAGGAGGCGGAGATGAGCCTTCCATTCATCGGATACACGTACAAAGCGTTCAACGCCTTCCAGGGAAATTGAAGATACAGTTGACATCCGAGTGTCCTTGTGAACCCACGATAGACGTCATTGAAGAGTCCGACAGCGGGCGGGCTTGCATTGATGGCTTTTCAGTGGCGCATTTAGGTTCTGGTCTCGGGCATCCCCTTGTGCATCAGTTTCATCCAGCATCTAGCGCATTTGACATTTCGCCTCAGTTGGTCACGACCTAGCATTGTTCATTTCCTATTACCTTATTGATTTTGCATCCGTGTCGCGAGACGACGATTGCTAGCTACCGACTGTATCTAAACGGGGATACATATGAGTGGATATCATATCATGTATTAGAAAAGCCCGCGAATGCAGGACTGTGTTCCGTAGCTATTAGCATTTAGCCAATGCATAAAATTGCGGTAGAAGTTTGCGTCTCATGTAGAACTAAAACTCTCATCGTGGATAGATTGTATCATTAGAAGAGGAAGAAAAAGAGGGCATGGTATTGATGCGAAGCCACTCTAATGCATAACACAGCAATAGAATAGAAAGAACGATAGCCACAACATTTTGCCAGCAGTGCAAGCCCATGAAACGCCATACCCGACCTTCAACAGGAAACCAACAACAGCTACAACAATAAAGAAACATTCACTACCCCAAGGACTTATTCCTTAAGAGGCGCCAAACCAGGCACACCCGAAAACCTCTCCTCTCTCTCCGTCTTAAACATAATCTGAACCCAAAACTCCTTACTATCCTCATCAAACCACGTCCAATACCGTCCCTCCCGACGATCAATCTCCCTCGCCTGCAACTTAAACCCACAAGTCTGATACGGCTCCGCCGCCACCACCAAATACTGGAAATTCTTATCCGGCGGCTCCTCAACCTTCTGCTCAAACGCCGACATAAAGCGCACCTTGGGCGTCACTCCCGGCGTAATCTCCTGATACTGCAACTGGAACAACATGCCCAGCTGTCTCGTCAAGGGGTCCCGAATCTTCGTGATCTTATACCCGGGCCGTCCAATCTTAATCGTCTGCTTCTTGACCTGCACGCCCATCGCCCCGGGAATGGACGACGGATCTTGGTTCTTGCCCTCGCGCTGTTCGCGCGCCGCGCGCCGCGCAAGGTTCGTTTGATGTTTCCGCCCCTGCGTGTGGGCTAGGTATGACCCGTCGTTTTGGTGTACCGTTAGACATAGTCTGCATTCGAAGCTGCCCACGTGGTTCTTGAAGAAGTAGGGGTCTTTGTCCAGGTCGATGGTTTCGAGCGCGAGTTTGCGTAGGCGCTCGCGTCGGTCGGCGTTCGTGGCGGAGTGCGAGGCGACGCCGCCGCCGCCGAATTTGGAGCCCGCGCGGTTCTGTTGAGGGTTTTTGTTAGTGATGGAGTTTTGGGTGCAGATGGTGGGGGTGAGATGCTTACTTGGTAATCCATCCTGGCGGGTTGTGGTTGTGGAGATGGATAGCAGTGGGATATGGAGGTGATATCGTAGTAGTGTCGAAGTTCTGCTTCGCCGATTTGGAGATTAGCTTCTGCCTCAGGCAGATGGAGTTATGTAAGCGGGGGTGTGAGCTGCCATTGGTGGAGCGGGGAGAGTGGGAAATCCGTCACATGCTGGGACGCTCGTTGTATCTATTTGTTCGGAACTGTATGTTTAGGAGGCATGGTTCTCGGCGATACTAGAATGGAGGCTGCTTATGTAGGTCAGAGACGGTCGTATGCTGGGGATTTGTGTACCGTGCGCTACGTGGGTACTGTTGAGGGCACCTCTGGGGAGTGGTTAGGAGTCGAATGGGATGACCCGACTCGAGGAAAGCATTCGGGAGAGCATCGCGGGGTGAAATATTTCACTTGTAAGTGTCCTCTTTCGGGTTGGGACTGAGATTCGAGATCTGGTTAGGACGTATGCTCACATGTTGCAGGCAAAAGCAAACACCCAACAGCGGGGTCATTCGTTCGTCCGTCTCGTCCGGCAGACAAACCTCGAGGGTTCATCGAGGCGCTGCGCGAGAAGTATGCGTCTGAGTTCCTCGAGCAAGAGATTGCCAGGCAAGGACAGCGTAATGGCGCTACGGGTGATGTTCTGCACAAGCCCATCGAGATCAGCGGCAAGGTCGTTGAGGAAGTTGGCTTCGACAAGATCCGGAAGCAGCTTGCTAGGCTCCAGGAGCTGAAGATCGTGCTTCTTGATGGACTGCAAGTTGCGGGTGTGCTGGGGCATGATGCATCAGCTGAAGAGATCGAGTCTGCATATGCAGAGGTTGAGCAGACTTGTCCCCAGATTACCGAGTTGGATCTGAGCCGGAACTTGTTGACGACTTGGAGTGGTGTAGCTCGGATTTGTGAGCGGTTGAAGTTCCTTAAGGGGCTGAAGCTGATGTAGGTTCTCTTGGACTGAGACGGTTGATTTGGATTGGGCTAACATGATAACAGAGGAAACCGGCTCGGTCCTCTTGAGGAGGGGTTGAAGTTCGAGGGCATCACGACACTGCATATTGATGAGACGCTTCTAACATGGGAGGAGATATCAGCATTAACCTATCAATTCCCCGTTCTCAACACACTTTCCGCTTCAGCAAACCAACTCTCAAGGCTGACAACCCCCCTCTCCAACACCATTACCCGCCTTACCCTAGAGAACAACGACATCACCTCCCTATCCTCCATTAAATCACTCGCCTCGCTTTCAAGACTAGAGCACCTCTCCCTCCGCGGAAACAACATCTCCACTATTCACGACGCCAACAACACCTCAGACACAGCCCTCCAATTCCCCCAAAGCCTCCACTCCCTCGACCTATCCCGCAACAAGATCACCACATGGGACTTCATCAACCACCTCCCTACTCTATTCCCGGGTCTAGACACCCTCCGCATATCCGGCAATCCACTATACGATCAGCCCGTCGGCCCATCGCACATCACAGGCGTGCCCGAGAAACCCATGACAGTCGACGAAGCGTACATGCTAACCCTATCCCGCATCGGCTCTCTACAAATGCTCAACTACGGCAAAATCACCCCCAAGGACCGCAATAACGGAGAACTATACTATCTCTCCCTCATCGGAAAGGAGCTATCCGCTTCCCCAGAGACAGCAGAAGCAGGCATCCTTGCTAAGCACCCTAGATACAAAGAGCTGTGCGAGCTGTATGGCCAACCTGATATCAGAAGGGCCGAGTCAGGGGCTGGTAATGCTGCTGTGAACCCGCGGTCTGTTGCTGCGAGGCTGGTAAAGTTGGTGTTTCGTCTATCTCAGACCGAGGATGCCAGGTCAGAGGGAGTTACTAGCAAGGTCAAAGAAGTCCCTCAGTCGTTCGATACATATCAGCTCAAGGCTATTGTTTCTCGGCTTTTTGGGCTACGGCCTTATAGCTTTAGATTGGTTTGGGAGACTGATGAGTTGGACCCGGTGAGCAAGGAGAAGATGGAGGATGATGAGAGCTGGGATAGTGAAGATAATGGGGAGGGAGGTGTTGATGGTGCTAAAGAGCAGGAAGTGAAGGCGGCTGAAGAGCCGGGGTTCGTGAAACGCGAGGTAGAGCTCGTGGATACTACGAAGGATATTGGGTTCTGGTTTCAGTCGGATATGGCGGAGGCAAGGATTAGGGTTGAAGTCGTGGCCTAATGTTATCCGGCGTATAGCTAGAACTTGCTGTGTGATAGATATGAATACCCTTCGGTAGAATTATGTTATCATGTAAGATGTAAAACATACAAAGAAGATAAAAAAGAATAACATACTGGCAGGTTAAAAATTCGCAAGCTCGTCAGTACTGTTCTTACACCAGAATAAACATCTGTTCCATCATGCATATATAAAGCAGCATGTATAGTATCCTCCAGCAGCAAGAAGAACAGAAACAGCAATAAAAATAACGTTAAAAGCACCGCTCCTAATTCATAACGCACATGTATGTAGCAAGCTACTACAAATAGCTCCCAACAACACCTCGATCTACCCTCCCCTACAAACACCCCGAACTAGAATCGATCCTACATATGCACGCGTCCCCTATATACTAACCCTACCCTATATCTGCAAAGACCAATACATGAACTGTGCGACCGACAGCCCCTAGCCGAGTTCCGATCAGGGTAAAACTCTATCCAGTGCTGATGCGAGATTCACCCACATCTCGCAGCCTGCTAATGCACCTTCGGATCTCGACATGCCGCGATAACCTAATTCTTACGTCCGTTCGAGCTATGAGTTAGGATTATTTCGATAATTGTCTGGTCATTTCTCACTGTTTCGTCGTACTCCAATGATCTTGTGAAAGGTTTTGATGGGCGAATTTGCACTATAAACGTTATGCGTAGTATGTGGTGGGTGGTAACTCCATATACTTACTAGTACTTTGTAACTATATATATATATACTTACTACTTCCGGAAACTTACTACCCAAGCGCTTACCTCAGTACAGCACAACAAACCCATGACACAACAACAAAACCCTTACTTACACAGACGGTTCAAATAAGCTCTACCACCAAGACCCGACCCTGGACGCCACAATGAAATACAACTGGAGACTGTGTGGGTAAACACGAGGCCCTAAGAGCGCTCCGGACCGAGTTATCCGTATCCCCGAGGAAGGAGACCGTAACGGTTGAGCTCCTCCGAACCCCGTTTGGGCCCACATACTAGTCCAAGGGATTCGCCTACCGGAGAAATCATCAGCCGTGGTTGTTAATGGGTTTCGGCTTCTCTTTTCTTTGTAATCTAGGGGCTGGGGAAAGGGATGTGGTTAGGTGCTTACTTAAATTCGAAAGGCTAGAATTGCGAGACTTTCATGGCTACATGCTTGGAGTTGGTTTGGATGCTTAGGAGAAATGGAGAATATGTCATTTTGAGATGCAGTTAATCATTTTGATAGCTCATTTCTTGTGGTCTTTCCAGCATAAATTCATTATTGCAAGAGGATAATTCATGCACCTTTGTTGTTGTAAGACACCTGCCAATGCGTGATCATGGTCATTCTTGTATGTTTTCTTTTTTCTTTTTCTTCTGGGTTTCCTTTGCTTTTGTCATTACCCTTTCCCTGATGGAACCTGACCCAATGCGAGACCAATAGCCGTAACGACCGTATCATGCAAATGCAAGCAAGTTATTCATAAGACATGCCTGATGCAACTCATAGAACGAACCAAGGTCCTCTCTTTCTGATCTGCGGACCCTTCCAGGTGAACACCGAGATGCAGAAGGGATACAACACTATTGGTAGTGCTGCGAAAACTATATAAGGCACCTTTGCTCCACCGGGTTGCTTGATCCACTGAGGGAGATAGAAAGGGGGATGGAACGTCTGGACAGCAAAGAAGAATTGGAAGACAATAGCTACCTCTGCTGCATCATCCGGATAGCACTCCGTCATGTATGTCAGCAGGACAGTGACGAGGACTTCCTGTCCGAAAGTGAAGAGACCGATTCCAGTGAGGGCTGCAGCCCAACTGTCACCATATTCGAGTTCGAGTCCGTACAGGAGGAGACCAGCCTAGATAGGTATGTCAGGCTTATCGTTCGTATTTCAGGTGCTTTACTTAAGTCATCAACTTACCGATATGGTGATGAGAGCAGACCAAGCAAGATGGAGCAAACGCTCCGGTCGCCACTCCTGACCTCGTCGCAAGGAGTACTTGGCGACCATATCGCAGAGTGGCCCACCGAAAAACTCACCAATACCGGCACCAATGACACCGGAGAAATAGCAGAAGCCAACTTGCGCCAAGTTAAAGTGGAAGCGGCTCTTGCTGCCAAAGTTGAGCGCAAATCCCGCGGTGTTTCCGACTTCGGTCATGTTTGCAACACCAAACCAGAAAGACGGAAGAACAACGGCGGGATAAGCAAACATCTTGTATGGCTTGCGGAAGGTCTGGCTCCAAGTCTCTTCCTTGGGAACCACTGGCTTGCGAAACCCCATGCGAGAGATGAATGTGGTCTTCTTCTTGTCGGAAGGCTTGTAATCGGCGCTGGATTTCTCGTCTCGTGTATAGATGGTTTCGGGCACTGAAGGGAGAGAGTAGAAAGCGATCAGTAAAAGACAAGCCCCAAAGTGCAATAGATAAAAGAGAGATCAACGTACCAAAGAAGACCTGGGCGAGGAATTGTGTGGCGTAGAGGATGGCTGCGATGTACATGGACCACCGCCATCCCAGGCTCTTGTTGTATGCAATCGAGCCACCAGCGACACCACCCACGTACGGACTAATAACGAGCAAAATGCTATTTACACCCATCCGCGACCCCTTCTCATGCAAGAAAAACATATCAGAAATAGCAGCGGGTCCGATGGACAACCCAACGCTGCCACCTACATTCATGAGCATGCGACAAGCTAAACACTGTGCGTATGTCTGGGATCGAGCCACCCCGATCGCGCTGACCAAGGTCATCAAATTGCCAATAAGAAGTACAGGCCGTCGACCTATTCGGTGGCTTATCGGTATCCAGAAGAACGAGGTTATTGCGTTCAAGATG